GCTATTACTATTCTAAAGTCTGGGCTGTTAAGCACCTTCCCAAGCTGCTGTGGGGGAGATGTCTTCTGGGGTCAGTGTGTCCCCTGGACAGAAAGTAAAAAAGGTTTTCCTGCGGGAACCATGACCAGTTCCAGTGTTACCGGTAAACAGTTTTCATATTCTCGGGGTGAGGAGAGCCAGGGGCTGTGTCCTCCCGTTTCCAGCACTGCAGGTCCCAGGTTGTTCCTAACTCTCTTGAGGTCTCGAGTCTTCACGGTCACAGGGGACTGACCAGGGAGGAAGCAGGCTTTCCTTCCCATTGTAGAGTGGCAGGGGTAACACTGCTCTCCTTCAGGACGGCCTTTCGGTGCAGCTGTTTCTTCCTTCTTCTCCCAGGAATCAACCTGAATAAGAGAATATTTCCAGAAAAACTCTGGCTGCTGAGATCCGCGTCCATCAGTGAGGGGTTGTGCAAGTGCCCATTGCTCTCAGGCCTCATGTATGCACTTTCTGGTTATGTCCAGATGTTTCTGATACAGGCGTGCATGCAGCTGTGTGTGTTTCTGGGCCCAAATGGAGCTGGGCTGGCATGGGTTGGCGGTTGGCAGCACCTTTGGCAGCTACATCCCCAGGACACCTTTTACCCATTACATTCCATGCCTGGGTGGGGCGCCTGCCTGTTGGGTGAGTATTGATTCCCTGCACTTCTCCATCTAAATTTTGGAGTGTTCTTTGGGCAGAAATTACAAGGCCTGCTAACTTGAGAATAAAGCTAAACCCCTGGCCCCCAGCTGTTCTCAGCGTATCTTCTGCAGACAGGTGCTTCGACTCACAGACGGACATCCAGGCAGCTGCACTAATAAAAAGGCTGAAAGAGGTCGAGAGCAGGCAGGCCAACTAAACCACACCTTCGTTTCAGTGCTTTTGGATGCACACAGATCTTTCCGGCACCGTCTGCCCTTTCATTTGGCTGGACTCTTGCACAAGACCAGGCTGCTCTTTGCTCAGTCTCTGAAAAAACATGTTCAGCCCCCTCCAGAGACACTCAAAACACAGACACTCCTTATACATTTTCCTGAAAATATTCTATAGTGCCAGCCTGGGAAACCTTCCAAAAATTTGCCAAACCAAAGATGATAGTAATAATAATAATTAATAATAATAATAATGAGATGGGGGAGGAGAGAAGCTTGGGCAAACACTCTTGTTGGTTAATGTTCAAAGGAACAGACTTGGAGTATAGGGAAAGGAAAAAGGAAGGCTTTTCCAGGTCAATTTAAACATTTGTGCTGTTTGTTATAAAGGCAATTCCAAAATAGTTGACCTCCCCAAAGCGGTTTCTTGGAATCTACCCAGAGGGCAAAAACTTACCCTTCCTGCCCCCATCTGGAACATTTTCACACCAGAGGCCCCACTCATTCCTGAGCTCTGGCTTTAGAAAGAAGGGCTTTCCCAACCTTCCAAGATTCCCTGCCCTCCCTCGCCCGCTGACCCATAAGGAGTTATTTTTGCTCCACCCTGAAGCAGCTGCATTCCAGCTGTGCTGCTGTTATGAAACATTTAGGAATCCTCTGGCTGGAAAGGTAAATGAGGAATGTGTCCTAATGACACTTGAATGCTGGCAAAAAAAAAAAAAAAAAAAAAAGAAAAATCTTCAGAGAAGCGCAAAGAACCAATTCTTGACTTAGGGTTCCCTTTATAATTCTGCTGTGCAGAAGAGCCAGCTGTTAGGTTATAGAAAACATTTTTAGTGGTCATCCAGATAAAAGTGCTGAACAGCTTGACCATTCCCCATCCCCCGTGAAACGCAAGAAACAGAATTCAAACATGTTTGTGAAGAGTCAAAAATATTTTCACTTACTCATGAGCTCTCATCTTTTTAATTAAAGCATAGCAACTTGCTCAAAACAAATCTTTGGAACAACAGAGTAAACAGAACCTTAATTTAGGAATGTGCCAACTGATCTTGACTACTGTAAGCAGGGTATAGCGGCTGTTTAGAGGCAGACAATGAGGCGAAAATCTCCTAGGAGGTTCTGTCCCTTCCAAAGGTGGAGTCTTTGCCTGAGGACTCAAGTGGGGAGGGGACCTCAGAGACCAATGAGGATCCTTTAAATACATAGAAGTTGGTCAGACAGGGCAGGCGGGAGCAATGGCTTTTAAAGCAGCTGAGGCCCTCAGCAGCTGTCAGAACAACTGCCACCAAGCTCTGCTGATCGCAGCGGGGCTGCAGCATTAACTGAGACCTTTCCCCTCAGTGTCTTTGCCATGATATCTTCTGGGACTGCACTGTAGACCTTAAACTAACGGGTAGCCCATCTCACTACCTGGTTGTAGGATGGCTGGCAGCAGCTGCCTAGCTATACACTTATCTTGCCCAAACTGCTTAATTTCCTGGCTCTTGAGATATATTCTTTTCACCAGCATCATCCGCCACCCAGCCAGACAGCAACAATTAACTGCCATGGGAATGCTTTGAGAATCCAGTATCCAGGGTGAGGAACTCCAAGAAGTCCTCCATGAATTCCCAGTGCTGAAAGCGGATATGGAAATTTGGTAGGAAAGCTGGTGGCCTGTGTCCCAAGGGGCTACCCAGCTATTGTGAAAGCTTCCCTCTCCCCATTTCTTCCTGCTCCTGCTGTCCCACTTCAAATACTCCCTACCATCCACCTTTTAACACCTCCAAGGCTACCACACCAACGCCACCCCCACCCTCCCTCCCACTGGTCTAACAACCCACTCTCACCCAGGTCCTTGCAGAGTGAAGCCGGCACCAGTTGCCATGGAGAGCGCCTCCCATACCCCCTTACTTTTTGGGGCTTTGAGACCCTAGAAGGAAAGCACCAGGAAAGCCCAAAGCATTCTCCCTCCTGAAAACAATGGCTTCCAAGGTCTGTGCCAGACACATTCACAGTACCCGAAATAGACCCATTGTCTTCTTGTGCAATATCCAGGAATTTGGTGAAACTCATCATTTTTCAGGTTACCGATAATACAAGTTTGGAAACTGAAACAGGAAGGAGCACAGGCTGAAAAAGCTTTTATCCAGCCCACAGCATTTCTCTCTCCAGATGTAAGATATTTTTTTTCTTCTTCTTCTTCTTGTTTTGTTTTTTTTCTCAGCAGCACTTCAGTGGGGTTAAAATTAGCTGGCAGCATTCTAGTCACATGTTAGACAGCAAAACAAAAGGGAGTTGTTCCACGGAAGCTCCTGAGGCGGCCCGAATAGACCTTCCTAATCCATGGTCTTCTGGGAAGCTGGCTCTTCAGGCCCTGGTACAGAGGGGCCACACCACCGATGCCCCTCTGCTGTCAGCCTGCTGTAACAGGGCCGTGCTTGGTCAGTGTTGAGGATGTTTGGAATCTCAGGGCTTGCCTCCATCTGGGAAGGCACTCATGGGCCCCCAAATGGCTTTTCCAAATCTTCCCATTTGGGAGAGAGGAAGGCTAAAAAAAGGAAGAACTTTTGAAGCCAACAAATAAGCAAACACCACAAGGACATGAAGAGAGAGAGGACGGGTAGTGACTGAAATGTGAACACAGCCGCTGCCTTCCGGGGGAATGGGCTGCTCTTGGCAGGGTTAAAACAGAAAAATCACACATCCTAGCTACATGTAGCCAGCTCTGAGGAGAAATTCTTTATCTCTGGACCCTGATATTAAGGGGGCTCGTCATGATCTGCTTTGTTCTTCCAGCTTAAAAACGGTCACCAGAAGCCCTGGATGAAAAATACAGCCTCTGATTCATACACGCCGTCATGAAACATCTCTTGCTCAGTACAGAAACATGTCGGTCAACCTGGGAAAGGAATCACCACCACGAAATATGCTTTGGCTTGCCAAAGCTTAGCAGCTTTGAGAGCCAAAAACCCAGCTGCCTGGATTGTCTGGGGAAGGTGGGGGCTGGGGAGGTAGGGGAGTGGGGGGGAGGGGAGTGCTGGAGAGAAACGGCTTTCTGATTCACCTGATTTCTGCCCCCAATACTGTCCTGTTTAATCTCAAGCCAAAACTCACCTCCAAAAGGGCCAGTTGATCCTAAAAATTGCATTAAGCATTACCCCTTCCAGCTCTGAGCCTGCTGGCAAGGTGAAGCAGATGGCTTTTATTGATAAATTTATTTATTTGGAAGGGGCTAAGTGAAGTCAAGAATTCCAGCAAAACAGAGTGCATCGCTCTGGCCAGAAATGCCATAACAATTATACGCAGACACCCAGAGAGAGTCAGGTTAAAAGACACTGCTGCTAAGCCCCAGGAAGCTGGGGAATTTTCAGTCTTTCTCAGGTCCCGTCTCCATGTCAGCAGTGCACTTATGAAGAAATACCTCACTTGGTTCAACATTCTGTGGTATTCAAGGGTTTGTGTGAGCTATGTAGGGCCCGCTTTCTTAAAAGGGCTTCATAAACTAAACAGGCCTTTAACTTGGACCTCGTCCTGAAGCCCTCATTATACAGATGGACCCAAACAGAAATCCCCACTGCCTTAACGCCCAGCACATAAAGTCCTCTTTAATAGACATACACCATTTTTCAGGGGAACAGCCTCAAGGTGTTAAAAGTACATAAAGGTCTGAAAGCTGAAACCCTAGATAAACAGTGCACTGAAATATATTTAGCAGAAAATACTGAAAGCCACAGGAAAAATAAGTTCTCTTCCTGGGATGTTAACAAAGGTTTAGGTTCAGGAAACCTTCAGGAAATAGCGAGTTGGGTTGAGAAGGAATACTGCTCAATGTAAATAAATCACTAAACCTCTTTGGCCTTCACAGGCCTTGGCTGGAATGGAGTATTTCATTTTTTCCCCATTAAACAGGCCACCCGGAGAGTTGGCATTATAGACCTGAACATGTACCAAATCTGAATGTGCTATTTTGTTTCTGTACATTGAATCAGGCTGTGTTTCAAACAGCAACTTGTGCAAAACGGGGAGCTGGCCATCCAGACTGTTGCACCCTCACATTGAGCATCAATAATGGACCTGTTTCACCTCAGATCACCCAGTGTCCTGTCTCTGGCAGGAACATACCTCTGTTGTTGTTGCCCAGGGTGATGTCATGCTCATTGTCAAGTCCACAGTTCTAAGGGACTCAGTTGCCACCACTGTAATAAGATGTCTTCAGAAAGACCCAGGTTTCCTGCGATCTATGGGGAGAGAGAGAGAGAACAAGGAAAGGACAGGCAGTCACTCTCCCTAAGATGGATGCTGCATGATGTAAGTGGCTGGCTAAAATATCTGGCATCCTCGCATTTCTAAGTTGCCAGCAAAATATTATTAAAAAGATAAAATACACGCAAACTGTGCGGAATGTAGGGCTGCTGTGTTTACATCCGGGTTTTGATGACTCAAAGACTTACACTTGGACTTGCTGAAAAGCTCTATTAAAAACACAGCTTTGCGAAAGCCCTAGGGAGCAGGAAGCCAGGCTCTGTGTGTGTGTGTGTGTGTGTGTGTGTGTGTGTGTGTGTGTGTGTGTGTGTGTGTTTGGGTGGGGGGTAGAGGGTTGGTGACCCGACCTAGGATGGTGCTTAGTCCTGTGGTCCTGGCTGGCACTACAGACTCGGGAAATGCTTAGAGGTTAATCTCCTCTCGGCTTCAGAACCAGAGCGGGGAGGGTTAACCTTTTTCCAGAACATTTATTTCACCATCTCACTGACTCGAAGGAGGAGGGGCGGGAGGGAGAGCGAGAGAGCGAGAGCCTGCCGCGCTGAGAGGCTGCGGATCACAAGGCCATTCTGATAGCCTCCTGTCCCCATGGCAACTGCAACGGCATTTATCAGTTCCTTCTGCGCACAGGCACAGCAAATCTGCATTGCACATGGCAGGCTTCCAGCATTTCAAATGAAAGAGCACTTTGAACGGCTGCCAAGTTGGGAAGGAGCAGAACTGTCAGGGCTGCTTAAAGCTGGCAGTTTATACTGGGGAGGCTTTCGCTTCCCAGAATCCTCCGGTCCTGGCGAGCTGCCAAGTACTTA